CTTGGAGGGAATCATGCAAGACATTTTTCATTAGTCATCAAATTTTAACCTTTCCCTGCATCTATATCTTTAAAATACTTTTATATGTTCGCGAATGTATAACAGACTGTACTAAGAACTCATTCTATCATAGCTACCCAACTCGATATGCAGAGGAGTTGAGCATTCCTAAACATAAAACTATAAAATTCGAACATTCTCCCAAATATATGGGAATAAAATTATTCAATCGGTTACCAGACCATTTCAAACAGATGAACACTGTAGCATTTAAAAAAGCAGTTAAAACATTGCTTCTTTCTAAGGCCTACTATAGTATTGGCGAATTTCTCTCGGACCATCTCGACTGAATGGGTTCATGCGGCTTTGGCATGACATATTCAATTTTTATAACTACAATTGTTTTAATTTTTGTAATTCTGACTTATTTGTATAAATTTTTATTGTATTATTTTTATCTACTGATCTACAATTTTATCGTTTGATGTGATTTTTATGTGCTTAATACTGACCTATCCTATACGTTTGTCAACGTCTTTGAGGATGAATAAATATTATTATTATTATTATACATATTTCAATTTTTAAAACAATGTCTTTCAGTGAAACATTTTTTTTGTTCCAGTTACAATTGGGCTAAGGATGGGATGGTGTGAAACAATATGTCCCCCATAATCTAAAAAGTAATTCAAAATGTATTTTTGAAAATAATATATCACCAAAATTATATGTGTCCTGATATTTTACATGAAAAATATAAAAATTTGAAGCAGTTCAATTATCTATACAGGTTGGGGCACCCCATACGACACGGTCCCTATAAACCAAACCATAATATTTTTCGGGAATTTCTCCATTTCATTATATGTATATTGATTAAGTCTGCAGAATGAAATTATTTTGGCGTCTACAGGTTGGCTCAAAAAAGTGTAAATTTTCTAAGTTGTGTGATTTAAATAGAACCCCCTGTATTTCGTTACACTTCTGAATAGGTCAGGAAAAAATAATATGATTTCATATAAGGTACTACAAGGGTGGTCTGAAAAGTTTCCGACCTAACAAAGATACAAAATATTTTTTCGATTTTTTTTTTATTTTTCAACAATAGTCTCATTTAACTCTACACATTACTCTCAGCGATGCTCCACGAACGTGATTGCCTCTTCTCCGAGCACAATTTTTAGATAAGGTTACAAAAAGAAGTCGCTTGAGGCTAGATTTGGTGAGTAAGGTGGATGGTCAAGCAGCTCAAACCATAATTTGTGGATTTTCGCCATGGCAACCACTGAGATGTAAGACGGGGCATTGTCTTGGTGAAACAGGATTTTCTTTTCTTTTTCTGCAAATGTGTGGAGTAATGATTGTAGTGTATTCCTGTAAAAGTTCTTCCTTTTTAGGATAATCGATTAGAATAACTCCAAGACTATCCCAAAAAACAGTCGCCATCACTGAAAAAACAGTTTTTGTTTTTTTTTTTTGGAGCTGGTTCTCCCTTTGCAGGCTATTGATTGGACTGTAATTTTACTTTGGGTGTATAATGTTGTATCCAAGTTTCATCTGCAGTAACTAATCAGCATCAAAACTCGTATTTATGGCGCCTAAACTGCGCCAGCAGGGCAATGGAAATGTTCATTCAGAAACGTTTTTGTATAACGTGAGCAAACGCGGCACCCAACGCGTGGACAGCTTTCACATGCCTAAATATTGATTATACACGACAAACACGTTCTTTTGACATGTTCATAATCTCTGCTATCTCTCTCACTTTAATTCGTCGGGAGTCTAGCGCCATTTGGTGAATTTTGGCGATGTTTTCGTTGGTACTTGCCGTTTTTGGACGTCCCGAACGTTCATCCGTTGTCTGATATTTAGCGGCACATTTTCCAGAAGCTCAGGCAGATCATCTCGTGAAAAATGTAAAAAAAAATACCATTCAAGTTTCCATAAAAGGTCCTATAACTTGTATACATATAATTCCTCCCCACACGTTAACAGACCATCTATTCTAGTGATCCAGAGTGCGGAAAAAATGAAGATTCACATCACTACAATAATGAAAGTTGTGTTTGTTCACTGAGCCATTGTTATGAAAAGTAGATTATTCAGACATGGAATTCAAAATATGTTCATTTGGTCATTCCCACTAAACTTGTCCAGACCCCATAGACAAAACTTGATTCGTCGATGGAAGTCTATTTCATAAAATGCCTGGTGCATCTAAATACGGTACGGGTGAAATTTTTATTTTTTCATTACCCTAGAAATGCTCCATCTGCTTATCCCTGTATCTTTCTCAATCTCAACATTGACTCGTATGAGGGTTTTTTTTTACAGTGTCATCCCCAAAGCATGTACCATATGGGAAACTTATTTATTAAAGGTTTTTTGACAAAAAGTTATTCAAAAGTTTGTGCATCCCCTAAAACTAAACATGCACCAACAAAATACAGTATCACACACGTAATATACGAGGAGCCTTCAAATATTTGATTTTGTGACAAGAGTAAAGTAGGTACTCTTATTTTGAAAAATCTCGGGAAATGTTATTTAGAAAAGTTGTTCAGCATTGAAAAATACATCTAGCTTTGAAGTTATGGTCATCTAAGTGGAGTTTTATTTTTTTACCCATTTTTTTTAAATGGGGACTACGAAAAAAAAAATTGCTAAAACGATAAATAGACGGCATCCTATATATGACGGTTCATTTTAAAAGCCTGTAATATTACAAATTACACAACTATGGTATTAACCACGGTCAATTGCTTTGAAAAGTAAATTAATTTTCAAAGTTTTTGGTGCAGTTATTTTTATTTTTACTTTTGTTAACACCGAAAATTAACCAAAATTATACAGTATTGCAACAAGAACTTAATATTCAATAACATCAAATCACAAAACATTAAAATAAAATAGGCATTTCGGAACAAACTCATTGATTTTCTGGAGATTCAACTTAAAACACTTATTTTGGACAAGAAAATGAATGACTTTGTTCAGAAATACCTATTTTATTTTGATTTGATATTATTGAATATTGAGTTTTTGTTGCAATACTGTATAATTTTGAGTAATTTTCGGTGTTAACAAAAAATAAAAATAACTTTGCACCAAAAACTTTGAAAATTATTTTACTCTTCAAAAAAATTGACCGTGGTTAACACCATAGTTGTGTAATTCATAATATTACAGGCTTTTAAAATGAACCGTCGTATACAGGATGTTTTCTATTTATCGTTTTAGCAAAAATTTGTTTTTCGTAGTCCTCATTAAACAAAAATTGGTCAAAAAAAATAAAACTTCACTAAGATGGCCATGACTTCAAATTTAGATGTATTTTTCAATGCTCAACAACTTTTCTCAATAACATTTCCCGAGATTTTTCAAAATAAGAGTACTTTACTCTTGTCACAAAATCAAATATTTGAAGGCTCCTCGTAAATTACGTATGTTGTACTGTATTTTGTTGGTGCATGTTTAGTTTTAGGAGATGCACAAACTTTCATCAAGAATAACTTTCTGTCGAAAATCTCTCAATAAATATGTTTCCCATATGATGCATACTTTGGGGATGATCCTGTAATTGATCCCACAATAAGAAATTCATTTTACTCATTTCCAATGATAGGTTTTGGTCTATTTGTCTTTTCATAAGCTACACTTCCAGTCCAACGAAAATAATGTAGCAATTGTTTGAAAACCAATTTGTTTGGAAAATTCCTGTCTGGAAATTTTTGAACATACACCCTTGGCGCCTGCCATTCTCTAAATACTAACAATCGCTCAAATCGAATCTATATGCTCTTGAATGTGAAGTTTTCATTTTCAACAGTAATAATTCAGTGAATGTTTTGAATAACGTAAAACACAATAACTGTCAATAAGAATTATTTCAACAAGTTGAATAAATGTAGTTTCAAAGCTATCTTGATTCAAAGAATGTAATTAAGAACTATTATTTGAAAAATCCAGTATCTGAAGAACATATTTAGGTTAAGTATACGGAACCCCAAAATAAAATGAAAGATATTTAATTGAATTTCACATTGTTAAGACCAAAAAATACTGGGTGTTCTGTCTGAAATAACAAAGTTATCTTTGCCGAAATTATAAAAAAGTGGCAATGATTTTTAAACATTCTGTATAATATTGAGAAACGGGTTTTATCAAAATCGATAGCTTAAAACATCTTTTATGCTTGGTCAGAATTTGAAGAGATGATTTTTATACATTTTGATGTTATTCAGTTTCCAATTGTATTGAAAAAAATCAATAACTCGAGAAGGGTTACAAGGTACCTTATATGAAATCATATTATTTTTTCCTAAGGGGTCGTTCAAGTATTATGTAACGCATTTTGGGTGGAGGAGGGTCTTCTAAAACGTTACGATGCGTTACAGGGGCGGGAGGGGGGTTTGAACAACGTGTTACATAATATTGTTTTTTTATTTAATTCAAATATTGAACTAGGAAATTAAAGTCTCCCAAGTTAGCTATCCTTTTCGTTTTATGTTTTACAGGGAATCCGTCGACTGTACTGTATGTCACTTTTATTTTGTTACACTCGATTTATACTTGCTATCGTCCAACCCGTGTTAGGAATCACACTTTAAAAGGTAAGACCTCGTTAATCCTCAGCTAGCACAGTTTCTACTTCTGAGGGTTGTCGTTCGTAGGGGTACGACAGCTGGTTAACGAAAAAACAGATTTTAAACAGACAGATCCCAATTGACAAACTTTTCTTTCCCACTTTATTAGAATTCCTCGACTGTATTGTACGTTATTCTTATTTTTAGTTGTCAATATTCCATAAACTACACTTTACGATTTGATCTCCACAAACTTTATTTGAGAAATGTATCTCAAGTTTTGCTACCACAGTAGCTTCTTCAAAAGTGATCTGAATTCAAATCACTGTTGAAGAAGCTACTGTGTTAGCGAAACATGTCGTAATATATTTCTCAAATAAAGTTTGTGGAGATCAAATCATAAGGTATAGTTTATGAAATTACTATGGATCTTCATCAAGTAATGGCCGAATCAATCAGAAAATTATCAATATTCAAGTGTTTTAAATGTGTAATACGGAGAAGCATATTGGAGTTATAGTATAATTCCATAATAGTAGGCACTGAATCATCAGAAATATTATTGCATTAAAACGAAGAGTTTGTTGTCGAAGTTGTGATTATCTATATTTCATATCATTTTTTCTCATCTGTTCAGTATAATTTCCGTTCGCTACTGTAGGAGACAGATCAAGGCAAAAACGTTAGTCATTTCTAAGAATTCAGTGCCTATTTTAGAATTGCAGTATAGTGTTGTTGAAGTGAGTTCATACTGTTTTGTCCTCAAAAGAGGGAGATTTGCTTCAAAAGTGTAACAAAAAACAAAACTTTGATGTCGCACTTTTTTTGAGCCACCCTGTAGACTCCAAAATAATTTTCTTCTGCAGCCTTAATCAATATACATATGATGAAATTCTTGAAAACACTCAATGGTTTGGTTTACAGGGGCCGTGTCATATGGGGTTGCCCCACCTAATTACCATAAAGTAAACAAGTCATCAATCACACATAAAAAAAATATTAAATTATAAGTGAGCAAATCCACGAATTCTGACTCAAGATTCGCTTTCAGAGGATCAGATTGCTAAAAAATACTCATATTGAATTCAACCTAAACTATGCAGACACCTGACGTGATAGGGTACTTTTGTTTAAGAGAGCTAAGTTGGCATCTAAAAATTATCAAAAATTACATGCTAGTAATTAATCAATATGTCATTAATTAATGATCACAATTGAGATTTTTCTAAAAATTTAACCACGATATCCTCTTTTGACACGTAATCACTAATTGTATTTGAGTACCTATCCATATATTTTCCACACTTTTCGAAATATTCTAATCCCTCTCGCAAAACTTCGTAGCTGGAACATTTAACATTGTTTGTCAAACAAAACTTAATCCATTTCATTTCGATCAAATTACTTATGAAGTACTTTGACTCTAACCTGAAAAAAAATTAACAGTTTCAAGGTCGCATCCATACAATAGTTGTTATGCCCGGAATCTAAAGACAAATATAAAAAATAAATGACTATCAAAAGAAGGAAACCAATTGCTCACCTCTGTTCTTGTAGGGTTGCTTGAATTTCAGTCAGACGAACTATTGACCTCGCTGATTTAAGTTCTGCTGAAACTTTGGAACACTGTATACTGCCCATTATATGAGCTTCATCTGCTAATTTCTGAGCCTGAAATTAAAGAATATTTTGACACAATTTGGTTGAGGAAATGAACAAAGAAAATTAGATAGAACAAGGTGAGTAAAATTATTCAAATTTGAAACTCATAAAAGGAAAACCATTGTATAGGTTAGGTTAGGTTAAAAGTAAGTAGGTATATTCGATCCTCCACTGCAACCCGCAAGGACTTATTGTGGGTCACACCTATTCACACTCGACCAAATAAAGCCAGCTTCTTAACGATGCTGATTAATTTATATGGTGAGTAATCTTTCAGGTCAAATGATAAGAATGTGACTCTGCCAAACTCTGAAACCTGATTCGGTCCGCAGCGGGGCAGGTACAAAGTATGTATCATTTTCCAGAGGCAACACACAATGTCTTTCGACTGTTCAAGTCTTTGCATATTGATTCATTGGACAGTGACCTATGAGAAGGCCTATTAGACATCGTAGTTCATCCATACGCTAGTCCAACAAGTGTTTGAGTTCAAGCTTCGAAGGGTGAATGAACGCTTTGGAGTGAGCCAATTCTGGAATATTTTGTCAAAAGTTCATAAATATTTTTGCCATTTAGGTGTTCAATGTTTGTTTAGCAGAGCCTAAAGCGATGCCAATGACAGGTTCTGGTTCCATGAAGCTGCTTGCAGCACCCTCCTCCACAAGGGAGTCAGTAGCCTCATTGCCTTCCAGACCAGTATGGCCAGGAATCCAGACCAGATATAATCAAACTTCCGATTGTTGCACTGAAAAAATAAGAATGGACACATTGTCATCTTTAAAATCTAAACTTCAAGGTCAACAATTGATGTTTACTTAAGGTAATACTAAGAGCGAAGATGTCCTGAAATCAAGTTTTATTATTGCATTAGAAATAGCGAAGAGATATGGTGATTTCATCAAAGACTGTATGTTGTTGTGTTTTTAAGAAAGAGATTCTTAAATTCGACCTCAACCTTCGAGAAATCAACCAATTTTCAAAGGAGAGAAAAAAGTTAACGCTCCCAAACGCCATGGATTTTTATTCTATTCTATTCTATTTTGCTATCGCAAAAGGAAGTATGTTGCGGATAGGAGAGAAAGAAATTTTGTTTTATTTGNAACACTGTATACTGCCCATTATATGAGCTTCATCTGCTAATTTCTGAGCCTGAAATTAAAGAATATTTTGACACAATTTGGTTGAGGAAATGAACAAAGAAAATTAGATAGAACAAGGTGAGTAAAATTATTCAAATTTGAAACTCATAAAAGGAAAACCATTGTATATGAATGAATTTTTCAACATTTGAAAGTCAAATTAACAAAAATATGTGATTTTTGTTACCTGTTTTTCTATAATTTCAGCAGGCCAACCCCTGACATGATTCACCAGATCGTCCCTATAATGATTTGCTAAAGAAGGTGTTATCGTTGGCCCCTGTGGTCGTAAGGCTTGTAAAGAACTAGAAACACCCTGAAGAGTTTGTAAACTTCCTGGAGGACTACTAGCAGGTACTGCCACAGCTGTGAAATGATTACTATTAATATATCACTAGGATGTTCATATCAAGAGAATGTTCACACTTTCTATAACTGTTAAAAAATACATAGCTATTATAATGAAGTATAGTAAAAATAAAATATAAATCACGTTGCAAATAATATTGTACAAAAAATTACAGAAAATGACAATATGATGATTAAAGTATTTGCGGCCGAGGTTTTCAGTGTCACAATTTTATATTCGGGTTTGAAGGCCGTCGATTTTTGGATTTTTTTCTTGACGTTTCGCTATCGCGAGTGGCTAGCTTCTTCAGAGGTTCATACATACATTGGAGATAAACTAAAGATGTATGAACATACCTCGAAGATAAACTCAGGATGTATTAATCTCTGAAGAAGCTAGCCACTCACGCCAGCGAAACGTCAGGAAGAAATTCCAAAAATCGAGGGCCTTCAAACCCAAATAAAAATAGTGACACTGATTACCAAGAATAAAAGACGTACATCATACTGTATGACTGACATCAAGCATCCATTAGAAGTTTGAGATGAAGGAGAGGAGTTATCAAAAATATTTCATATAAAAGTTTTAGATACCAGTGCACTTTTAAAATATCAAGTATCTAGCGGTCCTATCGGTTTTATATAGATAGCTCTTCTTCTATTTTGCAAAAAAAAAAATCTTCATATTTCAACCAATTCACACAAACGTTAATTAATTATACACAAAAACCTCCCGTTTGCTAATGGAAACCATATGAAAAAATGTTTTCTATCGCGATTACACTGACGCAGCAGAATATATCAAGACAATATATCACACACAGTAGAAATGAAATAGCATATTCGAATTTCGTCACATAATAACTTAAAAAATATAGGACTGTATTGTATTTTATAACACCGAAAATGGATCTATTCATCCGTTCCCATTTTCAATGAAGTCTCATTTGAAAAGTCTCATTTATTATAAAGATGAATTGTTTGTTAAAGGAAAAAAATATATTTCCGAAAGCTTGAATAACAAAAAATAGTGTTTCCATAGCCCGCAGATATTTTTATATTGACTTTTTTATCTTTTTTATGTTTGTGTGACCTATTGAATCAGCGCGTATTTTATGATGATGTTATGTTTTTTCTTATCTAATGTGATTGTGAAGGAAAACTGATTCAATAAATGTTTGAATAAATAATAAATTTGACGGGTAGATACCCTAACACAATAAAAATTTGAACTTTTTCGTTTTGGAAATTTTTGTATTGCCGCAATCCTTCTTCCAAGGCTTATTTCTCCCTAATCAATTATAATTCGTGATATTTTTTTAGATTATTTATTTATCAGATGATTTGAAAAAGTTTGTGACAATAAGGGACCTAAAATATATAAATATTAGATTGTTTCAAAGTTTTGTCATTTTTAATGTGATGTGTTTTTGTAGCTTCATATCTCAATAAATATTTATTCTACTGTGTCGATAGAGAATGTTGTTCTTCTTTGCTTTTGAGCAACCAAAACAATCCTTTTTTATTATTACACGCTTTATATTAGCTTCACCTGTATGTATATACGTATGTCCGTAACTCTCAAGCTCGGGATCTGTATTCAACAGAATTATCGACATTATTGCTTGATCTATTCGCGGTCAGATGGCGCTGTACGTAACCTCCTTGATATATCGACATTATTGCTTGATCATTCGCGGGCAGGTGGCTCTGTACGTAACTTCCTTGATATAAATCGAACTCGCACATGTATTTCTTCATTTGAGAAAAGTATTTTTTTTATCAACACGCGCGCCTGCTACCTTATTTGTAACCCTGCTTTGCGCACCTGCTGCCTTGGGCTAGGTAGCAGATTTTCAGGCTCCCTCTCCGAAATCGGAAAATATCAATGGTTATTTTTGTAAACAATATTCGACTGATTGATCTCAAAGTTTAGATAAAATAAATATAGTGTAAAAAGACTAAAAAACACGCTTTTATAGCATACGAAACTATAAAATGAAAAATAAATATAGTTTAAAAAAGTAAAAACACGCTTTTAAAGAACATCAAAGTAAAAAGTTAAAAGTATTTTTTTTAATAACCTTAAAACAATGACAATCGAAAAATACTAGTATTATTGTGAAAAAAGCGTGAGCGCTTCGTGCCATATTTTTTGTATGGCAAGCGCCCGTCGTTTTAAGCTTATTTTTAAAAAAAATTATGTGTGCTGAAAAGTGGATCCTCAAAGACGTGAGACTTTTTAATGTTTCTGAAACTGAAGAAAGCATTGAAAAGACACAGATTTGATACAATGGAAGTTGTTAAGGAAAAAGCTGTGGAGACCATGAACGTGCTTTCAGAAAGAAATCTGGTAGAAAATATATTTTTCCGTTAACCAGTTGTCACTCCCCTGCAAATTTCAACTTTCAAAAGTCGAAATTTGTCCGTGTTAGGAACTAACTAGGTCCTACCTTTCAACTCGTGATTCCTAGCATGGAAAGTCCTGAAACAATGTTGTGAAGAGTGGACAATTGCATTGGAAAAAAGTAGGGTTAGTGGAGATTGGTACATTAGGGGATAAGGTGAAAGTTGTATAGAAATAATAAGTGAAAAGAGTTACACCAAGAATCCAGTTATTTTGCAGCTAAACCTCAATCAGGAAAATATTGCTTGAAAAATTGGAACAATATAGCATTGCATGTAAAGTGCTGCGGTGGGTAAAAGGGTGAGAATGATCTCTAGTTGTTCATAAAAAAGGAGTGAAAAACAATTTTTAAATGAAAGGAGTGGTTTTAACCACATGTAACAACAAACAAATGTTTTTGTGAGGTCACATAATGCGACATCTTTTATAATCTGTTGAAAATCTGTTAAAAGGAAAATCTGGAAAAGGGATGTATGGCCGGTCGGAGCCATTGTGTCCAAGATTTTATGGAAAAGGAGGGTACCGCCACCAGAGGACCCTCAAATTTAAGAAGCAACACCACCACAACCAGTAAAAAGATTGATATCAAGGTATACAACCAAAATGTCCGAGGACTGAGAACCAAGGTCCACGAGTTCTACACCAGTGTATTAGCTGAGGACTACGATGTGATTGTGATAACTGAGTCTTGGCTCACCGCAGGATTCCATGATTCCGAGCTCTTTGACCGTAGGTATAATGTTATAAGGCGGGACCGAGACAATAACAAGACCAGAGGTGGTGGTCTTGTTGTGGCAGCCAAGAAAAGCCTACCAATGGAACTCATTGATTTCAATTCCAACTGTGATATTGAGTGCCTTTCTTTAAAATTAAAAATCAAAAAAACTGTTATTTGTTTGTATTGTTTGTATGTACCGCCCAATACCAGTAATGCAACCTTTTTGGTTGGTTTGGTTTGGTTAGAGGAGAAAGTCTGCAGGAATGCTAATGTTTTATTGATAGGAGATTTTAATATCCCTGGTTATACAACCAACGGCTGTGAGAAAAGTAAGTCTTTAAACCACTTCCTAAATATGTGCAATTTTAAAGATAGTAATACTGTGATTAACTCCATGACTAGGAAATTATATTTAGTGATAGGCAATATTGATATTTCTGATTTGTGTAGATGTGATAGTCCCTTGGTCTTGGAGGATTTCTATCATCCTGCTTTAAACTTTTTAATACAAATTAAAGTAAATCCAACACATAATAATAACATTCAGACATCTCACACTTATGACTATTCAAGGGGGGATTTTCGTTTGTTGTATGATCTAATTAGGTGTATAAATTGGGATGATTTGTCACTTAGTGGGGATATCAACGACGCACTTGAGGTCTTTTACGAAAAATTGATTTCTTGCAATGATGTGGCTATACCAAAAAAACTAGTTAGGTGTGGACAATATTCCTCCATACATTTATAAGGGATGTATTGACTTTCTTGTACAACCTCTAACTTATCTATTTAATGAATCTCTTAAATGTAAAGTGTTTCCTTCTGCTTTAAAAATGTCAATTGTTACACCAATTTTTAAATCTGGTGACAAAAATCATGATTAATTTCTAGGTATTGGGTAACTTAATTTATAGGTACTTGTATACATTTTAAAAATTGTGACAATTTATTTGATTTCTTTTTTGTTTCCTTTTATATTTACTGTTTTGTTTTATTTTAGTTAGTAGTTCTTAAGCTTATTTTGTTATTGTAGTTTTATCTCTCTTACTTTTAATTACAATTCAATATTGTGTTTGTAGGAGTAAAAAGTAAAAGTAAAAAAGTAAAAGTAAAAGTAAAATGATTTTCTGTTAAACACCTGTAAAACCCCCCTACGAACATCAACCCTCACAAGTCAGAAGGTTTTGCCTTTTATCGTGTGATTCCCAACACGAGTTGGATTATAGGAAGTGAAAATCAATTGTCCGGCATCTGGGCTCAAACTACCGTTTCACACAGTAGTTGATTGTAATTATTGGAGCAAACCACTCGCGCCAACCCAACCGGCTACCATCCTGCCATATATTCATAATATTTTATATAATATAAATTTGATCACAATGTGAACAAGGAATAAAGTATAATACTTCAGATCGACATATTATTGAGTTTCATTTTTACTCATACATCCAGATTGCCGCCTTCGTCAACTTCATTCAATCCCGAGCACACAATTTCCATGCTGACGGAATTAATCGACTTGTGTTACATAAGAAAAAGTGCACAGTTGTAAATGAAGCTTATTTTGATTAAATAGAATAATTATTCACTGACATATTACAGTTCGAAGTAGACTCATGACAACGGACAAATCTCTTAAAACAACGTAATGTATATTTAACGAAATATATTGCTCATCTGGACATTTCTTGAATTTTTATAGGAATCAACACATTCAAAATTGAATATAAAAAGTCAAATATGGGTTGGATATTTCAAGATGAACTTATTCTCTCAGTGTTTTCAACTTTTTCAATTCCAAAATCATGAAATGCTTTTTTCGACATTGCTTCATTCAACTTGATGATTATTTTTATATAGATTAGCTGTCTGGTCTGTTTGGGCGGTAGAAGGCATATCAGAGTTTTGGAGTAGAAAAAAAGTCATTTTCAGTATATTCAATCTGAAGGTTTACTACTGCCAAAAGGCTGTCCAAATCAGTAAAGTATCTGATCGGTTGAATTCAACAATCGAATCCGAACAAGTTGAAACTCTCTTGATTTTTAACTTTATTTTATTTGTTGTATCAATGGGATTCTCAAAACCAATGAATGTAATAACAGTATAACTGACCGCTGGCTATACTTGGAATAAATTTGAGAAAAACTATCATTGGGGGTCTTTATTAACACAATTAATAGAAACCACACCAAAGATTTTCAGAATGTTCGTGCATTTGTGCACACATGTGTATATGTAAGTTGGCGAATATGTATGTCTTTGTATATGCAAATATTTCAATTTCAATTTTTTTATTCAAAAGTGACATACAATAAAACTTGTTTTACTGTACAGCTAGTTCAACATGATGTAGTCAAATACGGTATATCGTTCCACTCAACAAAAAATCACTCACCCTTTGCACAATCCGGAGTTTCCGAATGAGTAGGTGTAGGGGGGCCTTCCACAATGATTCCAGAGTGATTAGTGTCCACACTAAGAGAAATATGCACTGCACTTTCTCCAGACCTTTGGAGGGGTTGTGAGTTTTTATCCGCATTATCGATCGGCGTTGAAGTTTGTGACATTAATCTCGGTAACGAAGATAACACACTTGGAGGTCCGGGCGTATTAGAAGTCGTAATGGTCGACGACGGCACAGGCATAACCGAGGGGGTACTCTGAGGGGAAACATCCGTCCTCACTAAGGGCGTCGAGGGCACGTGAATCGGATGCGACGTTAACTTCGGCAATGCATTCGCCAGTAATACAGGTCCCATTGTATTCTGTTCAGTTGTTGATTGTGACGTATTGTTACCATACGACACCTCTGACGTAGGCGTACTGTCCCCAGGAGAAATGTCCATGTCTTGTGTTGTTTGTACATTTTCTTCAGAATGTTTTCGGGATAGCCGCAATTCCTTTGAGGTAACGTCACCATCATCCCTGCTACTGCCACTGCTCCAGTGACGGCTGCCTGTTGCACTATCCCGCATGTGATCCTTGCTGCTGCTGCTGCTGCTATTTGCCGCTCTCGAGTTGGAATGTTTCTCGTGTCCTAGAAGAAAATGTTCAAAATGGTTAGTGAAAGTTGGTGAGATAATTAAAAGAAATCATCAAATCTAAGAAAAAAAAATAAAACATTAGGAATCAATAACATATCATCACATTAGTTAGAAATCTGTGAGAATAAAACCGGTAACTATTTTGGCAAAAGCTCTGTTTTTGCCAAATCTCAGGCAATGATCTGTATTATGGTACTATCAACAAGATGAACGATTTCCCATCAAAACTTCAAGTATATTTCAATATTAACAAAATGAAACTCAATGTGACAAAATGTAAAGTAATGATCCTAACCACACCCTTCAAATACAAAAACATCAACTCAAACCAACTCAATCTGGAAATAGATAACAATGAAATTGGATTCATAAACCAGTTGAAATATCTTGGATTCATACTTGAAAATAGCCTATTATTGCATGAACATTTTTCGTACATAAGTAAAAAAATTAGTAAGAAACTTTATTTCTTCTCTATAATTTTGTCATGTTTTTCAACATACTCCAAAATTACAGTATATAACACCATTATCCAGCCCCACTTTGATTATTGTGGTAGTATAAAGGACTTGATGAGTTCAATAAGCTACAAGACATCAAGCAATCTAATACCATTTATGTATTCAAAACGAAGATCAGTAAACATACCCAGTCACTATAAATCACCAGAATGTATTACAACATAATCAATCTTGTTCACACGAATTTATATACTTCAAGTGCATTATTTTATTTTTTAGTATTCTTCTTTCTTTTCTTTTTATTATATAACTATTAGTCTAGAAACATGTTTGTATAGCTATTTTTTTCATTTTTATATTAGGACATGTCCTACTAAATAAATAAAGTTCTTCTTCTTAATAACTGCATTGCTTCTAATAGCTGTGTAAAACTGAAGATGATTTATTTCATGTTATAAGACCACTAAAAAGCAAGACTCCTATGGGAACTGAAACTGTACAGGAACTGATTAGATTTTTCATAAACTTTTGAAAATAATGCACAATTCTGCTCATTTTACAAGTTTAATCAACTTACATTTAAGCCATGGAACAGATTTCAAGTATTTCCACTTTACAATTAAGGAGGCAAGTAATTAAATGATATTCTGTTTAAAATCTGTTTTTCCGTTAATCAGCTGTCGCCCCCATACGAACGACAACTCTCGGAAGTTGAGAAACTTGTGCGAGCTAAGGACTAACGAGGTCTTACCTTTTAACGTGTGATTCCTAACACGTTTGCAGAATCATCCCCGCTTCAACCAGATAAATTCTCTCGAGAAAAATATCTGGTCGAGGCGGGAATCGAACCCACGATCTTCCGATCGTGAGTCGGGCGCGCTACCACCGCGGCCAATTCCACAATTCCTCATCAGATATATTCATTAATTGAATTTTCTAGAGTCCCAGAAAGCTGTGTACAGTTAAACTTCGAATTATTAATGTAGGAACATAATTTTACGAAGAACAAATCGGTAGAATCGACCATTTACCAAATTTTTTGAATTTGTTTTCAGACAATTGAGTATATGTAGTGTCACTATTGTATACATTTCCTAGATAAATTTATTCATAATTACTTTTTCTGATCACTCTTTCTCTCAAATCGAAAGGTTCAATGACCTCTTGGATGATAAAACATTTGAATTCACAATCTGCTTTAGCAAAAAATATAATTTATTTGTTGTTTGTCTTTATCGATCTCCCTCTACGGATGTTAATATATTTTTGAGAAAACTAGAGCTACTCTTGTCTGACCTGCCGATAAATAGTTCTATAATCGTAACAGGTGATTTCAATATCAATTACAATGACTGATTCTCTGGTTAATGAGTCACTGAAGAACTTACTTTTATCATTTGACTGAAGTATGCACGTTGATACGGATACTCGCATCTCTCGATTTTCTGCATCCTGCATCGACTATGTCTGTAGCAATATTGACAGGCAAAATGTTTCATGCACAGTTATTTTATCCGGATTATCTGATCATGAAGCAGTGATATGTTCTATTCTGTTAAAATCAACAAAAAAACAAACCATACATAAGTATGGTAGATTGTTCAGTCGTTCAAACTATGATAGGTTCTATCAAAACTGCCTTAAAATAGACTGGGTGAGCATACTCTTTCACTCTGAATGTGACCCCTTTTTATCGTTCCACAGTGCATTGTCTGATGTGTTCAATAAGTCTTTCCAGAACAAATAATTAAAAATAAATGTAAAAAGCCATGGATGACAAAAGGACTGAAAACATTCTCTAGAAACCTGCGCTCACTGCGTTATATCAGAAAATTCACAAATGAAACATTTTTCTGGAACTATTTCAATGATTACAAAAAAGTATATCGATCCACTATCAGTCTAGCTAAGAGAATATATTACTGCAACAGAATGGGGGAATCGTAGAATAAAATGAAAGAAACTTGGTCAATTAAGAGGTAAAACAAAAAAGAAAAACTCTTGAACTCTCACTTAATCCTAATATAATAAATGTTCTATTGCTGAACAGTTGAGTAACACAATTCATGCTCCATATGATCCATTGATCAACTTAGAAAATATAAAAATTCATGATAGTCTTATTTTATATGACACTGACCTTAATGAATTGTTCAAATTACTTCATGACATTAAAAATAAAAACACGGCCGGATATGATGATATTTCCGTTAAGATTCTTTTGAATTTACCACTCAATGCTCTAGAAACTTTGGTCGTCCTTATTATTACCTCATTCAAAACTGGCTCATTTCCTTCTTCCCTGAAGACTTCCTTTGTCATTCCACTACATAAAGTTGGTGGTTTAGATAATCCCTCCAATCTGCGTCTTATTTCCTTAATACCGACTTTAGCAAAAATTATTGAGAAATTAGTCAAAGTACGTTTAGATGAATTTTTAAAACTGCACTGCAAGGACTGTCGACTGTTTCATTTAATCTGATTTTTTTGTTTTGTATTATTATGTAAATGTATCACAGATCCCGTGTCAGNTAACCAATTAATATAGAATAAATTAGGGAAAACTGTTTTTATTTCTATTCTACTGTATTGTGAAAATATTATATAGATCTATACATTTTTAGAACTTTTTTTATATTTACATTTATTCATTTTTGGAACTTTTTTATATCTACATTTATACTTTTTTAGTACTTTTTTTATATCAACATTGTATTTCTTGGACTCTGTCAATAAGATGAAAATTTTATTGACAGTAAAGTATATTTTGATTCGATTTGATGTCAAAATGAAATGGTGTGACTTAAATAACCTTTGTTTCAATATCTCAAAGACCAGTATTTTCGTTTCTAGAGGCCAGATTGAAATTTTATCAATAAATGGTAAACCGAATCTGTATCTGGTTATCTAACGCAGGTTATCATGCAGACTATTTCAATCATACAAAAACAAAAGGCAAAAAAATCGAGATTTGTGTCAACCTTTATTTATCAAGTATAAAATTCTACCTTAGTCCTATCGTATCAATGTATTCATATTTACCTACAAACTCCTGATTTAATTCTAATAATGAAGTATTTATATGTGATTTGTATTGTGTAATTACACTGGACTAGTGTACCATATTTGCTATACTTTTATTTATTATGGCTGATGTATTTATTGTGATATATCGGATTTTCAAACAATTTAACATAAGATAAGCTTTCCAGGATCTCAGGACTACTGTAAAATCCCGTGACCCAAAGAGGACGGATGTAGCTCTCTACAATCGACTCTTAAGAGGAGCTCTGCGGGAAACAGTCTCTCTGTTTTGAGAAAAAATATTCGACGTTTCGGCTCCTGCTTTGGAGTCATTTTCAAGAATCACTTGGAACTGTACTTACATGACTCGAGGACGAGGTCACAATCTCCCTTGCCCCAAAGTCTCGTGCTTGCTGTGTTCACCTCTAAGTTTGCACTGGTCACTTTGCTGTTCAGGGCCAAAATTTTAATATAGGAACCTATGCGAGCAACATCTAAATTGGTAGCAAATTGCCAAAAACGACTCTCCTCAATAGGAAGACTTAACAGATTGTCTCTGGTCTGGATTCCTGGCCATACTGGTCTGGAAGGCGATGAGGCTGCTGACTCCCTTGCAAAAGAGGGTGCTGCAAGCAGCTTCATCGGACCAGAACTGGTCATTGGCATCGCGTTAGGCTTTGACAGACAAAGATTGAACACATGGATCTCAAAACTGATACAAAATTTGCATGGTACAGACTTTTTACAGTTTTTTCATTCATGTATTTTGACGTCGTTCTGAATGCAAAAATGGCCTTGTTCAATTTTTAATAAACGTCTATTCCATTTCAGGAAATTATCTATATATACTCCTAAAAATTTTATGTATTCAGTGATTTTTGTTTCATCACCCTGCCAATTTATACTCAGTGGTTTCTCTTTTCTACACTTGTCAGTACTAAAAATTATCAAATTTATTTTACTTGCATTCAACAGTAATTTATTTTTATTGAACCAACTCTTTGTTCTTGAGAAAAAACATTTCCCTGGCTTATATGGTCCTCACTTTCTTCTGCACCAGTTATTAAATTTGTTTCATATGCATAATTTATTACAGTTTCCTCGGCGTTCATATCATTTGCAAATTAGAATGCACATTGAAATATTTGCAGCCATGAATGAAAGAACAAACTTGATATACATGTCTAGACTTGTTTCATTATTAGAGGATTGTTTTTTCTGTAAATTGTTCACTAAATGATTCACTAAATTTCAAATAAGTGGGAATTTCATTTGAATTGAACCTTTTTAGGAGAGAGTTTTCATTGTCTACTTCTGCATCTTATTTTTTAGTATTAATCGTAATGATATGTAAGCTATTTGTTTGAATCTATTTATTTGTGTTATTTTTGCATTATTTGCAAAATGAAACTTCTGTAGATAAAATTGAATTCTTTTTTTAGGTTTCCCATATTTTTTGTTTGGAGGTGGAGAAGTAGAAAGCCAAAACTTTTTTCTCAACCAGAAGA